TTTGCAATATGTGAACATAATTTCATGCATTTATATTTATATATGACAAATGAGCTTTGTCTTAGTACTCTTACATGAAAAAAGAAAATGGAAATGAATCACCAGAAACTCATTAATAGTTTTAGTCATGTTGAAAGGACCAGAAAGACACTTTCAAGTTTTTGTTAAGCAACTTGTTTCTCTACAATATTTTCTCAGCAGAGTATCTTTCTGCTCATTTCACTATTAACATGATCTGTAAGATAATAATATGTTTTATTGCAGCTTATCAAAATTGGTAATATGTGCTGTATGATATATTTTTATGTTTGACAGTCACAGAAATTGTATTAGCTAACCTTTGTTATGAATGACTGCATACAATAAATGTGTAAAGTATTAATTTTGTATGTTTGTTTATTTAAAACTGCTAAAAATTAAGTATTTTTAATGCAATGAAAACATATTTTTAAGATTATCTTAATGAATTTAACACAAATAATTAGCAAAATCCTATATTGAGTCTCAAAAGCCATACATGTTATATAGGAAAAAATGCTGCATTTAATTGTAACTAGTTATTGGTATCATATATAATTCGGTGGCACAGTGGGGTAGTGGTTTGTATGGCTGCTTCACACTACTGGGGCCAGAGTTTTATTATGGGCCTGCGTGTTATCTGCATGGAGCTTGTATGTTCTCCCTGTGCTCATGTGAGTTTCCTCAAAATTTTGGTTTCATCAAAAAGTCCCAAAACATACTGGTAGGTGAATTGATTTCTGGGAAAACTGGTCCTAATGTGAGCGCTGGTCTGTGTACGACTGGAATCCTATCGAGGGTGTACCCATTACTTGCTTAGATAGGCTCTGGCTTCCTCTAAGCCCCTTATTGGGATGAAGGGGATATAAAATGGCTGGATGTACAGTATATACACAGTTGTGCAGAAATGTTTCTACTCTTTTCACTCATGTCTTTCTTTCATTATGGAGGACAAAAATCATCAACTGGAAAGATTTTGCAGAACAAATGGTGGCCTTATAGAGCTATAGATGTAAATATAAGAACCGATTATGTTAATGAGGAGGAAGATCTGATCAAGACTGTTTGATATTTGAGCGAAAAACGTAGATAGATAGATACTTTATTGATCCCGTGAGGGAAATTGCAGTAAATGGATTAATGTAATAGATCTAATGGATTAATTATTAAAAACATCATATCGGCTACTCATGTACATCTTACCAATTGGGTACAATCTGTACTATAAACTTCCTACAGTATCTGTTGAGGGCTGCCTGTTAGCTTGAACTAAACATGGCTAAGCTGTCAGTAGTTCAGGTGGGTAGCTGCGTCAGCATGCATAGGCGCAAAGGAACAAGTCATAGGTTTATTCCATGCTGAAAGAGAAGAAAGGCACCTTTTCCAGTGACAGATGCCCACTGTCTTTTTAATTTTTTCTAATTAACTGATATATTTTATTAGTAATGTAATGTATTATTCTTAAACTATTATAAATTGCTCTAATTATATCCGTAACTTTTTAATCATCCATCGCATGATGAATCTCTTCAAAATGTATCAGTTATACCATGGTTCCTGCACACTACAAAACATACTGTATGCATAGTTTTTTAAAATCTACACATTTCTTTACATCATCAATTCAACCTTCAGGAAGTGTGAATATTCAGTGTAGTTTTGGATTTCTTGCAAACTTATAGCTCTATTAAAATGTATGTGAAAAATATAAAAAAATATATTATTGAATCTCTTGTTTCTTCCAAGAAACTTGGCAAAAGCAATTTAAGCTCCTAAACTATTTTTTCCAGACAAGAAAAAAGGCTTAAGCTACATTTTAATTTTAAAAGATGTATCAGTAAAGATTCCGCTGTTAGTAATAATTACGTGTTAGAATCTAAACAAATACAGCCTGCCACACCTTTCAGCACAGCACAGAGGCACAGATCTTTTCTGCCTCATTTTCTTTAAAACAGAAATTAGAAAAGTCTTTTGGGAGACATTAAGGAAGCACTCAGTGTAGCTTTAACACTTATTGGAGATTAGGGATTTAATGCTTCATTTTGTAAAGGCTGGACCCATGGAGTTCCAGTAGTGACCAGAAAGTAATGACATTAACAGTACCTCCCAGAGGAGCACAATGCCCAGGCAGCACTGAAAGAAAGTAAGAGTGTAGGCTTGTGAGTGAAGACTATTCACATGGAACTGGCTAGAGGTGTGATGCCACTTGGGAGCTATATAATGCAGTGCTCAAATTTAAAAGAATAAGTTTAAGTCAGCCATGGAAGTAGAGTTAGGTAGTATGATTTATACAGTGTATACTGTATGTTCAAAGGATATTTTCATTTGAATCAGCATTTTACTTGAACTAATTACTGTATTACTGGTTATTACTGAAATTACTCTGACATAATGACATAGCCAAAGTGCTGAAACAAGTCTGATTGAACAAATTAGAGCTGCTCTGTCCCTGATTCACAGAAAAAAATACTGAACTGAGCTTCTGTCATTTACCAAAGTACAGATGTATCCACTCAGAACATGCAGTATTTCTTCCAACGTCGGAAAGTCGTGTGCTGCGTATCAGTATGTATTTCACTGGCCAAAGATGATCGATAGGTGGAACTTGTGGTGTGTCTGCTTCATATGGCATATTACTATGGAATTTTATAACTAACGTGTAATTTTGGTAGCTGAACATAACAATATAAGGGCTATAATGTCTCTGAACATCATTTAGAATTTTAATTTAGGAATATAAATACAGTATATCATACATACTGTACTGTATATGACTGGTAGTGGAAGCTAAAAAACGTACTCCACTTATTTCATAAACATTTTATACATCAATGTCTTTAACTCGGTTACTTACTGTGGTTATATGGAAATGTTTTGACATGCTCATTCTAACTATATAAAGTTTGTATACTTTATAAAAAAACTATAATGCTTTCATCTTTTTTATGAATGTCTTATTGACTGTATTGACTTGCTGTCAATATTGTGGTAAAAAACGTGTACTTTTTAGAATCCACTTAATAGGAAATAATAACATGGAATCACATAACTAAAGAAATTAATAATTATTTTGTATTTATTTGTTTTAATGACAAGAAAATAACAAAGACACAAATATACATATAAATAGAGGAAAAAAGACATTCACTGATGCAGAAGAGAAAGAAAAAAGAGAACTCAAATAATATTTAAATACCCTTAGAAGGCTTATAAATGAAGCCAAGGGAAAAAATAAATAAAAAAGCATCAGAGATTCTTCCATTTTTACCTCATAAGCACAGATAATCGTATATAGAAAAATCCCTCTTGTTTAAAATAACATCACTCTGTTAACAGAAATAACATTTTTACTCAGTCCCACCTGATTGCTGTCAGGTCCTGGGAGAGGACAGTGGGTTTCTGAATCAAAACGCATCATAGCGAATCATAACCAGCTTTCTACCAACCTCAAATCCAAAGAAAGAACAAAGTTGCTTATAAGGCAGTGCGGATTTCCTTTGCCACCTTGCTATGCAGTGATGTTTCAGAATGCAGTACTGAAAACACTCCGAGCCCGTGACCCCAGTCCGCTCCGTGAGCAAAGACTGGG